CCCCAAAACCCCAAAACCCCAAAACCCCTGTTTTAAACAAATAATTGAATTTTTGGAATGATGAGAAGTGCAGGCGTTGGTTTAGGGTTTTTATTTAGCGGTATAAGTGTAGGTGAAGGCCACTTTGGATGCTGCTTTGGGGTCTATTCTTAGAAGTTTCTTTACTTGTGACTGCATGTAGCCTAGCTTGATGGTCCAGGTATCTTTGGATCCTTTGCTCGGATCTTTTAGCTTCAAGTTTTGAAGCTGGAACTTGAAGTCTGCTTTAAAGAAATAATTAGGATCCTCATTCTTAAATAAAAAGCCATAGAACGGTCCAAAGAAGTAATACTTGTAGTAAATCTTCATAGGCTCTTCAGAATTTGGATTTTTAATAGCTCATTTGACCCCTTTTTGAGTAATAATGGTAGCTACTTCCAAATCAGATAATTCTTCAGGAGAGTCTCTTTCTATCACAGAGCTTTCTAGATCACCTGCCTTTATAAATTTATGATTATAATTATACTGGAAGCTTGTTTTCAGACCCATATTTATTTTCTGAAGGTGCTTTACTACACGTTTCTTGGGTTTAACTGTAAACTTCCAGAATGGTTTATGCTTGCTCAGCTGCAAATCTTGATTTGTGAGCCTGTAATTTTCAAGTTTCTTTAAGGTGAAATATTCATCAAGAGTGTAAGTCTTACTCTTGTTTTCGAAAATAAAGATCACCCCATAGTCATGGAAGAGATAGTAGTAGTTCATCACATCTTTAGGAGCAAATGGATTGGTGATAGCCTCTTTCTTCCCATCTTTGAGACACATCTTGATCAGATTATTGACACAGTATCTGATATGTGTAAAGTAATTATATTCTGACTGACATTGTCTTTCTATCATTTTTACAAGAAGGAATCTTTCTCTGCCTGGCTTCACTTCTAAATATTTCTCTGAAAAGATTTTATCTTTGTCTAAGATTGGTGAAATATGCACTCCTTTTTGTCTTATACTTGTCTCTAAAAGTTTGAGACCCTCCAATTTTGTAAATTGTACTTTCTCAAGAGCAGTTGAATCATTTTGAGAATTATTGGTAAATAAATATAATCCATAACCAGCAGTTTCGTAAGAATAGAAAAATTTAGTAATAAACCCTGCATCTTTTGGGCTTATTCTGGAATTTTCAACTTTCGTCCTTGCATAATCCTTCAATGTGTTGATTAGGAAGAATCCGAATTCTGAATGAGACACCTTACTGACTATCATATCAGAGCCAATCATATTTCATGAAAATTGAGCGTCTAATTGATCCTCTCAGTCTAGCTGAATGTACATATAATAAGTTCCCTTTCTCAAAATCATTGGAGAGTCGATACTTAGAAGATCTGTATCATATTTGTAGTCCCCAATGACATACTTGAAAGGAGACTTAGGGTACTCAGTTTTCTCAGCAATTAAGACCCTTATGTTACCAGGTTTGTAGTCTTCTGGCTTGAATAGCCTTTTCATGTATTGATGAATATTGATAGACAGATCAGTATTAGTCGGTAAAGTAAGATTTATTAGGATGTATGAATTTTGTTTATGAGACATCTTTCTGGAGATTACTCGCAAGAAAGGATTACATTTTCATATGGTCACAGACTCAAAACATTGAATGAAATTACTATAGCTTGTATAGAACTCTCCATCATTCTTTTTGCTAAAATCTACCATTTCTTTTAATTCCTCTGTCCATTTTAAGTCTTGATCTGACCAAGTTCCCTTATAAGTTTGAGTAGCCCACGGATTAGATATTTTAAGGATGTGTTCATTCGTTGTTCCTATTCTGACTTTGTAGCTTCCAGAAATAATATAGCAATGGTCAGAAATAATTCCGCTAAGAGGATCCTCCACATGCAACTTTCTATCTGGTTCTCCTTTTGTAACTTTCGATGAAGCAGCTAAAATATAATTAAGCTTAGAAGCTTTATGAATGTTCTCTTCAAGTTCACTATTCCCTTCAAGATCATCCTTTGTAAAACTCTGTATAGAGTAAGGAACAAGAGAATCCAAACCATCGGTAGGGCTCCCTCTCTCAATATCTTCATAGCTTCCATTGATCTTTGCCCAAGCCTTTTCAACAAGTATTGGCCAGATATTTTTGGTCATTTTCTGGGCAAAAGCCAGGGTTTTAGAATAATTGCAGTATGGAACGTAATCGTCAACAGTGATAAACTCTGGATGTCCTTTTATCAAAAATCTAAGCACATAAATGCCAGACTTGTTGATTCTTTTGTTTACAAAGATCTTCTTGATCTCATTTGGATGCGATCCCACCAGCCCTCTGAGGGTTGAGATGAAATAACAGTCTCCAAGCTGGCCTTGCTTGACATCTTTGACAGAAATATCTTTGATGAGATCCATGTCAGATTCAGGGTAAAGATCATGCAAACGCTTCCATTCAATTCTCTCTTCAAATTGACTTTTCTTCTCATCATCAAACTTGTTCTGCCTCTTAGAAAAGATAGAGGATGCTTTGGGAGGAAACAGATCGTCTTCATACTTCTCTCCATTGAGAATAATTGATGTGTAATCAGGCAATTTTGTGATTTGTTGGAGTCTATAAACAAAGTCTTGCATCAGGAGCTTTATTAAATATTAATTTTAAACAAAGTTCCACCTCCAAATATTTATGCGGGGTTTTGGGGTTTTGGGGTTTTGGGGTTTTGGGGTTTTGGGGTTTT